ATGGGAGTCCAGCGACATAGCCATTATGCCATCTGCTGATCCTCACATCCCCACATCCCTACATCTTTTTATTTTTAAAGATTTATTTATTTATTCACTCATTCCTTCATTTTAATTTGACCAGAGAGAGATGCAGAGAGAGAGAGAGACAGAGGAAAATGAGAAAGCAAGCCACCAGGTCCAGGACTTGAACTATGGTTGGCCATGTGGGAGTGTCCAGCGCCTTAACCACCACGCTATCTGCTGGTCCCATTCCCACATCTTTAAGAAGGTTCTGTGTACTTTAATTTGCATCTCGCTTTCTCACTGGCCAGAATTTGGTTATATAGCCACACTGCAAAGAAAGCTGGGGAGTATCTGTCCTTTTTTTTTCTTTTCTCTTCCTTTCTTTTCTATTCTTCGCTTCTCTTTTCTTTCCTTCCTTTCTCCCTCCCTCCTTCCCTTCTTTCCTTCCTTCTCTCTCTTTCATTCTTTCTTTTGCAAGAGGGTTCATGTGGTTACCACAGAGACAGAAAGAGAGGAGAGAGAAAGCACCCCCCAGCAGGGAATGGTCATGCCTCAGTCTCTTCTGCATTTCTCCAACCTGTCAGGATTTTGCTTGTGTACACACATACACACTCTCTCTCCCTCAATGTATTTTTCAAGCTACTGAGGCTAGGATTCAAACTATAGTCAACCATGTGGGATCCGACTCTCTTAACCATTAGGCCACAGGGCCAGCTTGGGAATATATTTATTTAGGGTCATTGCCACACTAAATAAATTCATTATTCTGTTATGGGGAGATGGGAAAAAGTAGATGTTGAGATAACTAAAATTATATGTGACAGCTTTTTAAAAAAATAATTTAAAATTTATTTTACATTTATTCACTGTACATCATTACAGCGTACAAAAATGAGTTTTCTTATCCAGAAAAACATTGTATATTGGCTCAATAAGTGACAGCTTTTTAGAAGATTTTTTTTGTTTTTTGTTTTTGTTTTTAGAGGTTTTTGCTATAGGGCACATGCACTTGCCAGACAGAGACAGAGAGACAGAAAGCGAGAAATCATTCCCCAGGGGGAATAGCCATGCCGCAATCCCTTCTCCTCCATTCTCTCGGGATCTTGGGCATGCACACACACACGTCTGGCATGAGTTTAAGCCACCGGGTCCAGGATTCAAACCATGGTCGACTACGTGGGAGTCCAGCGACATAGCCATTACGCTAACTGCTGGTCTCTGCTTTTTAGAAGTTTTAAAAAAATATGCTTTCTATGTATAAATAATAATAAAAGAAAAAGTATGCTTTCTGAGATCTATGAAAATACTAAAATTCTATAAAAGGACTGATTACAAAATTCACATATGTAAATCAATAGTATTACTATATTAAAATATCATATAGAAAAGATTAAGCTTACTAAATGAAAAGATATAGAAACACCGTAGACTTAGAAATCATGGTAAATGGGGCCAGCAGGTGGTGTAGTTGTCAAGGCACTGGACTCCCACATGGCTGATGATGGTTCCAGACCTAGACCTGATGGCTTGAAAAAATCACTCTGGGTGCATGTACATGAGTGCTCAGTATCCTGAGAGGAAAATGGAGAAGAGATTGTGGCATGGCCATGTGCCCTGGGGTGATTTCTCACTTTCTCTCTCATCATCTCTGCTTCTTTGGTGTACATGCACCTTAAAATAAAACAAAACAAAACAACAGGATAAATTTGGAGATTTTACATATTATACTAAAGTTTATATAGAAAAATATAAGAATAAACAGGAAATACCTAAAAAGAAAAAAAGACTGAGAGGTAACTTTCTCTTACATATTACAAATTTTAATAAAGCTATGAGAGGTTAATGATTTGATGTTAGGAAAGAAACATCTATATAACTGAACAGAATTTAGAAATTGACCAAAATATATATGGACATTTAGACTATGGTATAGGTAGCAGTTTAACTCAGCAGGGAAAATAATTATTTAGTAGACAGTATTGATAACATTCACAAGCCATCCGGAGAATATTAAAACTGGAACCATACTTCATACAAATATAAGAGAGTCCAGAATAGTTACGTCTGTGCTAGTCACCCTAACCTTTTGAATAAAGGTCCATAATCCCTATAAATACTGTCTCCTGCTCTCTAGAGCTGGTGAATACCACAATACTGGACTAGGATGATTAAGTATAGTTAATACTGTTAATTTTGTGGAATTTCCTCAAAGCTATTTATTCTGCCATCTTTGTCCCTTCTCCCAACCTTTTCCATGTACTCATCTATTTTATTTATTTATTTTTTAAGAGACAGATTTTTGCTATAAGGGACATGTGCTCACCAAAGAGACAGACAGAATATGAGAAATCACCCCTCAGGGGAGATGACCATGCTAAAGTCTCTTCTTTTCCATTCTTCTTTTGGGATTTTAGGCATGCACGCACATGTGCCCAGTGTGTTTTTTTGTTTTTGTTTTTTTTTGAGAGGTTTTTGCTATAGGGCGCGTGTGCTCGCCAGACAGATAGAGAGAGACATAGAGACAGAAAGTGAGAAATCACTCCCCAGGGGGTATGGTCACGCCGTAATCCCTTCTCCTCCATTCTCCTCTTGGGATCTTGGGCATGCACGCACATGCGCCCAGCGTGAGTTTTAAGCCGCTGGGTCCGGGACGCAAACCACGGTTGACTACGTGGGAGTCCAGCAACATAGCCAATACGCTAACTGCTGGTTCCCAACCCAGTGTGAGTTTTAAGCCACCAGATCTGGGACTCAAACCTCAGTTGATTATGTGGGAGTCCAGCAATGTAACCATTATGCCATCTGCTGGTTCCCATGTACTCATCTATTAATATGGCCACTGTTTGTATTTTGTTTTTTAGGTTTTTGCCATAGGGCACATATGCTCACTGTAAAGAGACAGCAAGAGAGGGAAAGTGAGAAATCACCCCCCAGGGGACATGGCCATCCCACAATCCCTTCTCCATTATCCTTAGGATTTGGGGCACATGTGCACGTGCACCCAGAATAATTTTCAAACCACTGGGTCTGGTACTTGAACTGTGATTGACCATGAGGGAGTCTAATACCTTAACTGCCATGCTATCTGGCCACTGTTTTTACCCCTAAATATTTTCTTTACTAGCTTCAGATTCTAACTCAACTTATTCACTATTATGGAACTATTTTTTATTTTTTTCTTTCTTTTTTCTTTTTTATTGCCACAGGGCATATGTACTTCACAGAGAGAGAGAGAGAGACCCCACCCCCTTCCATGGAACACAGAGCATGGTCATGCTGTAATACTTTTTCCTCTATTACTCTCTCTTTTTTTTTTTTATTAATTCACTATACACCATCACAACACACAAATGAATTTTCCATCCAAAATACACTGTGCATTGGCTCAATCAAGCACATCCACATACATGTTCTCAGCAAATAATTTTCCAATTCTTACGTCCTGCATACCTTGCCCTTTGTCTTGCCATCCCTGATTCCCCATCCCCCACCCTCTGCTATGTCCCATCTTCCTCCCCCATTGTCCCTGGCATCC